ACGAATCATGAAGGCAAGAATCCAGATTTTATAACAGACAAGATTTCAAAGTGGGATACATATGTCCTAGGTTTCTGAGTTCCTCATTATTTACTCAATATGTTACTATGCCCGCTCATGCTTGAACTTGTACACTCAGAGGCTACAGTAAACAATTAGATATATAACCAAGTAACAATTCCTACCCCTGCCCTTACATTAGCTGACATTTTATATGTTTACTGCCTGCCTTCTCAAACTTAAATATAATCATCATGAGAGCAGTGGCTGTGTGTTTTTACAAATGTATCCCTAATACCTGTAACAGTGCCCAACACAGAGCAGGCACTCAGCGAGCACTGTTCAATAAATTTAGAAAGACAACAACTATATTCTTCCTACAGATTCAAGCAACCTCAATATACCCTGCTTGAATCCGCCACATTTTATACAATGAGTTTTAACTTTGGTAGTGTCTTTCTCCTGAACTGCAGAAAATATGGCTATCTTTGGAAAGGTTGGAAGAGGCTCCGTGATTCCAAAGAAGTACTCTTCAGAACAGCTCAGGGTCCAGTCTGAACTGGTAGAGAACATGTACAGGTACACCAGAGTCACTTCTGCACACATGAGACACAAACAGATGGATGCTCGCTCCTCAATAAAGGCATATAAGCAGTACAAAACATGCCAAGAAGGGATGCCACAAGACTCAATTAGTGCTCACAAGGAGCTTTGTGACACAGAATGAAAGGTACCACAGACACAGAAAACATTAGAAAGGTGTGGCAATACAATACCTCAAAGACAAGAATCAGTTTGTGACCCTGATGTAATGAGGATTCCAGGGACCACTGACAATCTCCACTTACAAAGCAAAGCATGGAACAGACCCAAAGTATCAAATGCCCTGTAACAAAGAGAAACTGACATGATAAATCCTGAGCTGTCCTCCAGCTGTCCCTTCCACATCAGTACCACAGTGCAGGCAGGCATTTTTTTCACTGAAACAGACTTTTTTTTCATACTGTCTACCTTCTGTCACGAAAGTAGCTTACCTCCTGCCCTGTAGCTGCTTCCATATCAAGAAACAGATCGAGAAGAGATCGAACAAGACGAGCTGCTTTAGCCTTGCTAATGGAATTCAAGAAGGGTCGTACATACTTCAGGAGTCCTCCAAGCTCTGTATGAAAAGCAATTCAGAAAGGAAAAAGTAAACATCAATATTAGGAACAAAATATTTTTTAAATGTCTCAAAATCATAAAATCAGTACTCTGTCAATGGAATCAGTCTAGATGAAACTTAGTAGGAATTTACAGCATTCTTAGCAGGTAAAGGTAGCAAAACTAAGTTAACATATATGAAATCTGTGCTATCTATACTCCACTCAGCCACTGGATTACAATCAGGGCCCTGGGAAAAGCTCATATCTCTCATCATAATGAAAGATAAACACCAAAGTACTCATACTCAGAGAGCAGTTTTCTAGAACATGAAATATGCTGTGCTTCTGAGACCTTGGACAAAATCACTTCCCCACAACCAAGAAATCTGATCAAGTTATAGGAGTTTGTTTATTTGCTTTTTAATCTTCAAATCTGCCTTAGTAGTTCCCCTTGAACAGACAGAGGTTTTCAATTCCAGGTTCCCTTTTTCCTCCCTTCCTGAAATTCTCCCCAGTTTAGCATTTTAGCAATATCACTTCCCTGGCACTCTTCTGAATAAACTTTTCATATAAAAGTTAAGGTGTTTTTCCCTTATACTGTATCTTTTAAAAATTCCTCATTAATCTGAGTCTTAAATTAAGACCAAAAAAGGTATATACCACAGATGTACTTTCATCCCCTTGTATAAGAAAAGAGGGTGGTACACAGTAATTCTAAGGGAGCAACTTCAGGAACAAGAGTTTCTACAAATTAGAGAATATTTCAATTAAACAAATAAGGAAGAATTTTTGGAATGTAGGTTAAAATTACTTTAGTGCTACTGCCTCTTTAATATTCTCCAATTGTAGACTCACTCTCCTGAGAAATCTAATTCAGGGCAAGCAAACCTCACCCTCCTGAGAATGCTAATTCAGGGTCCTGAAATCTTCATCTGCCTGAAAAGTCACAGGAAGCATGAGACTGTGTCAGACACAAAAGGAACTTTAGACAGAGTGGAAAAGTTCATCTTTCCCTTCACTCCCCACTACTGACCTTTGATTCCCACTATGATTTTTTTCCCATTCACCTCTATATAAATTAGATTATACATACTCCTGCTTACACGCCTCATTCAGGCTGCATTCCCATTTGGAATTTCTCCCCATTTTCTTGACCTATGTAAATCTAAGACACCCTTCTAGGTTCAGCTAAAGTCCTATTGAGTCTTCCATGCCAATTACAGGCTTAATGGATGTAGTCTGAACTAAAAAGTGATATTAAAAAGGTAAAACATGCCATTTTGTGTTACATGTGTTTCTCCCTCAAGTTCTTTTTGAATTTATGCAAATTTCAATTAAATTATATAATCATAGCTTTTTAAAAGTAGTCTAGTGCAATGTCTCTTCTCTTACAGCATGTCTTACTATGCTTGAATGATTCTGAACAACCTCTAGTGACAGAAATGTTCAAAAAGCAGGCAATTCCAATGTTGGTCAAACTAAATTGTTCTTTTTTTGAAACATGACTATATCCTCCTTCAACATGATTTCAGAGATTTGACGATAACTATCATTTACTATCTCCCTAACTTTTCCTTTCCCCAAGCTAAACATCTTTAGCTATTTCAACTGTTCCTCCAATGTTCTGGTTTCCAGGTTCTTTACTTAGTTGCCTTCCTCTGAATAAATTCTAATTTGCAAATGTATCCAGAACTGCTCCAAGTAGTTCTAGTAGTGTCATAGCTTAATTCTTTTGATCTGGCCACCACATGTAACACAAAATGGCATGTTTTACCTTTTTAATATCACTCTTTAGTTCAGACTAAATCCATTAAGGACTTTTTTGTAGAGACAGATAATTCTCTACCTTCCCTGGTTTTGAGAAATACTTTAAGTATATAACTTTATACTTACCACACTGAATTTAATCTTGCTGGCTTTGGCAATAATTTTGAATCTTAATTCTGTCCTCTACTATACTGAGTCATCTACAAGAAATGGCTTTAGCCATGACAGCAGGTGATGACCAAAATAACAAAAACATAGATCTCTATGACATGATGCTAGAGACTTCCCTTCAAGCTGACAAATGATGCATTTGTCTTCATAAATTCATAACCTGTACCTGTAATTAATATTATGGCAAATGTTCAAATATTCTGCTTATGTCAGATATGTAGTCTTTATCATTCCCCTAACCCAGGGGTTGGCAAACTTTTTCTGCGATGGGACAGATAGTAAATATTTTTGGCTTTGGCTATAATGTCTCAGTGGCAGGTACTCAATTCAGCCACTGTAGTGTACAGCAATCATAGTCAATTTGTAAATAAATGGGTGTGGCTATGTTTCAACAAAATTTTATTTACAAGAACAGCTGGCTATACATTGTCTGTGGAGCTCTGCATATCTACTAGTCTGATAAGGCTAACACCAAAGAGAGCAAAGGTGAGTCTGGAATAATCTTTTCTTTAACCACTGTTTTAAGTGATTAAAACCAACTTATCAAATAATCTGTCCCAGAACTTTACTGATGATTACCAGTTTATAGTGTCTAGAATTTATTATGTTCATTACCTTTTTGAAAAGTGGAATAATATTTGCCCATCCTCAGTTTTCTTATCCCTCTCCATCTTCCTTGACTTTTCTCAGAACAGTGGCTCTATATCTGCTAAAACTATTCTTTTGATATTAAAAGACAGAAATTGTCAGAGCATAGAGATTAGAACTTACTTAAAGAGACTATCTGCTCTCTCTTCTCTCACCTACCTTGGCTTTAATTCTCTCTTTCTGATGTTATTTCTATCTTTTTCTTTTTGAAAATCATTTTCCTTCCTAGAAAAGGCAGAAGCGAAACATGAGCTAAACAGTCTGCCTTCTCTCTAGCACCTGCTAGCATTACAGTATTTTATCCAAGCACTGAGTGTTATTCTTCTCACCCTGACAAGAGAAACAAATGACCTCTTAGATGCCAAAAGACTCAATTCATTTTTCATTGTAGTCTACTATTTCTTATTCATTCTCAGTTATATTCCCTGTTTCTTTCCATTTTCATACATACTGAATTTATTTTTTTTAATTCCCATAGAATCATACTGACTTCTTCCTCCTATCCTTACTGAGATTATTTGCAATTACATGACCAGAATTTCCTATTCGGAACCTCACAGAACTCAACATGATCCTTTTGAGTCTCAGGCTATAAAACCTGCAGACCCTGAACCAAGGCAACATGTCTGATGATGCTCAGCACAATTCTCAATCACTATTATACACCAGACATTGTCGTATTCACTAATTCCCAAATGACTGCTGTCAGTCAGGGACATTATCTTAAAACTTTTTGAGTACAGAGTACTTAGCAGAGTGTTAGCCATAAAGTAAATGCATAAAAATTAAAAATTAATGGAACATAGTTTCTGTTTTCAGAAAACCCAAAATCAAAGAAAACATAAGCCTATCAATTAATAATAGCTCAGTAAGGTAAATGAACACAGACCCCAAGATCTCCTTAGTGTTTCTATTGTATACACCTGTATTCATCGAACTATTAGAAAACAAGTTTTTAAAAGTCCTTATGATTCACCAGTTAAATTCTAACAGGTTTAGCAGTACACTTCTAAAGTTCTCAGGTATAGATCAAGAGGAAGGGAGGGCAAGGAATAAGGAGAGTGTAAAGCATGAAAAAGGAATTTCAAGCAAAACTAACGTTTTGGGATAAATTTTCTGAACCGTGTAACATAATGCATGCTGTTTCTAATTATCCATGCTACTAGAGGAAAAAAGACATTTGGCTGTTTCAACAGAAAAAAATCTAAATTATTTCACCTGGCTTTCTAATTCTTTCAAGAAAATTACCTTATTAATTATATTTTGTATTGACTAACTATCAAAACTGTTTTCTGCTCTCTGGGTTTCAACCTAGTTGGCGGTGACATAGCTAAATGCACCAAGAAGGTCGGAATTGTTGGTAAGTACAGGACCCGTTATAGTGCCTCCCTCAAGAAAATGGTGAAGAAAATTGAAATCAGCCAGCACACCAAGTACACTTGCTCCTTCTGTGGCAAAACCAAGAAAAAGAGAAGAGCTATGGGGATCCGGCACTGTGGTTCCTGCATGAATACAGTAGCTGATGGTGCCTGGACCTACAACACCACTTCTGCCATCACAGTAAAGTCTGCCATCAGAAGACTGAAGGATTTGAAAGATCAGGAGAAGCTCCACAATTTGAAACATTGCTAACCTATAATAAATGGGTTAATTTATGTAACAACAACAACAAACTTTTCTAATCCTCAAACTCACATTAACTGACAGGCAAAAGGAATCCACAGACATGTTAAATAAGAGGAAAGTCAGCCTAAAATGAAAAAAAATCACCCACCACTGATAACCCATAGTGGTAACTATAGAAAGCAATAACCACTGTATCATGAAGCCATAAGCTCTGAAGCAGGACTATATGGGTGCAAATTCTGGCTCTCTCATGAACTAGCTGAGCGACCCTGGGCGAGATAGTTAAATTTTCTGTGCTCAATTTCCTCAGGTGTAAATGGATAATAGCATCTACCTTATTGAGTTGTTTCAAGGATTCAATAAGCTAAACCATGTTTGTGCTTAAAACAGTAACTAGTTCATAGCAAACACTCAAAAACTGTTTTTCTTATATTTTAAACAAAAATACAAGACCGATATAAAGACATCCTCTCAGTTTCATACATCTTTACTCAGCTTTCTACTGATTAAATCTAATAATTTAGTCATCCTTAATTGGCAAAGATTTTGGTTCTCAAGTTCAAGTTCTGCTAACTTACATATATCATTCTCTTGGATAACAACATAACTTGGAGGAAAGTAATTCACGAGGTCACTTACCAGAGCTTAATCCATTCTAATCAGATAAACTCTAAATTCACTTTTAAGGCTGACAAAAAAAATCATCCGTTTTTAAGTTTAAGCAGGCTTCTCTCTACTATTACTCAAAGGTCCTTCCTGGTCAACAGGACACTCTCATTTCAAGAACACACCCATCATCATCTTGAGCCTAGAAAGTCAATGGTCAATTACAACTAGAATGCTTGGGCAATGACATGAACAAAGTCCTGGGTACCAATGGAGAAATCTTGGGAAGTCTCTTCTCATCTAATGTCTGACTCATTCTGTGTCAGGAAAAAAAGACAGCAAGTTACTTACTTAGATGCGAAATCCCTAGTCATTTTCACGCTGGGAGCATAAAGTCACTATCCACCTTAAATACATCAGAACTTCTCAGTAAAATCACTGAAGACTGCTGCTATTGCTGCTGCCCATACATGAGGGAATGCACTAAATATTCAAACCAGAAATAAATCACAGATTATTATACTCAACAGCAACAGGATTTTCCGGCACCTGCAGAACAAAACTCTTCCATGAAAGAACTGAGTTTAAAGGCAACTTAACTTCCTACTTAAAAAACTGAAGCTCAACAAGTTGGCAAAAAATGGAACTGTGAGGATATACTACAATGTTCCTTCACGCCAACAAAAAACTGAAACTTCACCCAGCATTTCACGTAAAAGAGAAAGCAATCCATTTGCAGCACTTACCTGCAGCTTGTCCAGTCTTCGCCAGGAGAGACCCCAGTTCCAGGATGCTCTGCTCTTTGACCTGTACTGCCTCCTCATCATTCTCCTGAATGTCACGCTTCACTGGGAGAGGAAAATGTAAACCCTCTTAAAATTCTGACAAAAAAATAAAGACTGAAGGAAATTTCACCCTCACAACACCAGTTACAAACTCAAAACAGTTACCAAAAGGCAGATTCTAGAAAGCTTAAAAAAAAAAAAAGTAAAATAATCATATCGGACATGACCCATGTAAATCATAAAAACATATTCTTCTCAGATTTTAAATGTGCCTTTTCATTCTATCAATTAGAATTTCCCTCACCTACATACACTGAGATTTCTGTTGCAGTCATTTGGTTAAAGCAAAATGCAAACAAAACAAGGTCTTCATACATGTGATGGTAAGGCCTAAGCTAAGCACTATTATGTGAAAATATTAAACATATCTGTGCATTTAAAACCTGCCTCAAACTAAAACCAAATGGCCAAGTTACAAATAACTATAAAGTCAAAAAGTCTTTCAATAAGCTTTAGGCCTCTGGAAAGCCTCAGCTGATAGGCATGTTAGGGAAAAGGTGTTCTACAAAGCCATTTGGGAAAAACAACCCTATCAAAGTTCTACTGTGATCCTTAGAAGGGACTGCTGCTTTATAATGGACTTAAGACCTGTTAAAATAACTTTGTGCTATCTGTCCCACTGTTAATAACTATTCTACCACTGGAACACTGAATAGCCTCTTCGAATCTGTAGTGATAATTTTAGTGATCATCACTAGTTATCACTTCTCTGACAAAGCATCATCATGACTTGACAAAAACCAAGACTCTGATATTCCATAATGGAGTCTGGAAAAAGTAGGGCTGTCAACCACCATGACTCAAGCTTGCTCTAACAGGAATGCTCTAACAGGGAACTCACTCCTAGTATAGTAGGCAAGCAAGAAATACTCTATAATGCTTACTATAATTCTCACTTAATGAAAGACAAAATATTGGGCATTAGACATGAAAAAAATAAAATATATGCTTCTCACAGTAGTTCTAAATATTAGTGTATTCACAGAATAAAAATACATAAGTGTTTGAGATGACTCTGGTTCTGTAACTGTAACTGACTGAAGTCAAGATCCGAACTTCAAAATAAATCGCCTATTATTTACCATTCACAGATGCATCTTAATCCCCACCTCATTTCTCTGGTACCCCAGAGATAAAGACATCAAGATCTTGTCACTGTCCTTCCTTCCTGCAAGTCTGGAGTACCAAAATGCAAAAGACTAGTAAGTCAACATAACAGCCAGCATCCTGGAGATCCCACATACACGTGAATTCTCATACTACTTGTTGATCTAATCCAAATCCCCTCAAGCTACGTTAAAAAGATCACATTACTACATGTGCCAGTGAAAAGCTAGCCCTATTTGAACACTTTATGGCTGAACATTTAAAGCCTTCTCTGTCATAAATTTATTTCTGTTCACACCTGAATCCCAGTCGGAAGCTGTCGGAAGAGAATGGCTAGGGCTCCCATTTCAGTATTCCTGTTGTGTGCATGGTGTAAAGTAAGAAAGTCATACTACAGTGTTAAGAAAATTTTCTTTAATTTTCCCGGCAATGTGCAGCCGGACAGTTCCAAAGAGTTCCCTGAACTCCGAGGCTGACAACTAACTCCCGAACTCACTTCCAACCTTTACAGGGGAGTCTAGGACGATTAGTCGCCCACTCCAGCCGGGCGGTCCCGCCCCAACATCTCACTCTTACACCCTACACGGGTCGAAGAAACATCTAGGCCACCTCCTCAAACCAAATGCCAATCTGGGCTGTGTGTCCTCTCGGTATTTCCACATTCAGAAAGAAGACTCCTCTTTAGTGGAGCCTTCCGCTGTGGGGCTGGGGAGAAGTAGCAGCTTCCAGTGTCCCGTGGAAGGAAACGCCAAGAGAAAAGCCAGCGCTCGCGTTCCCACCCCGAGCAGGCTGTGCTGATAACAACGGCGGGAAATGCCTGTCCAGAGAGGGTTTCGCCTTCAACTTCAGGTTCTCAGACCAGTTCGCAATAAGCACGCCGGCCGGCACTGCTCCCAGTCCCGGGCCAGCTCGCACGGGCCAGAGCGGGAGACAGGCTAGGGAGTGGAGGGGGCCCCGGCTCGGCCCACTCTCCCACCCCACGTTGAGCCCACCATGAGTCAGCAGCCGGCGGGTGGACGCCGGGGTTGCTTCGGGGCTTCCCACCGGGTGGGACCCAGGGGGCTCCAGGAAGCTGCGAGCGGCCTGCGCCCCTAGCCCGGCCCCCCTCTCACACACAGTGAGTCAGCAGCACCAGAGCCGGCTAGCCCGGCCCCGCTCCGCCGCCGCCGACCAACACAGGCCGAGCTGGGCCAGCGGGGCTTGGGTGGGGGCGCGGCGAACTTTACCGATGGAGTGGAGGATGTCAATGGAGGCCTCCCGGTCGGTGCTCAGTAGAGACTGGGCTCTCTGGAACTCCACCACCGCCGCCGCCGCCATCTTACCGCTTTCACACAGTCCCCGGCCGCGGCCACCGACGCCGGAAACACACGCCCGGAAGGCCCGCCCTCTTGTCCCTCCACGCCCCCAGGTCCCCCCGCCTCCGCTCTCAGAGCACCACGGGAGTTGTAGTCTCTCCGCCCGGCGAGGTGGCTGATGGGTGTGGGTGACAGCTGGGGTGCCTCTCTGGTAGGCCGCAAGCTCCCTAGCATCCCCTAGCGGCCTTCCCGCGAGTGAAAGAGGCGGTGTCTAATAGGAGCCTAAGGCTAGTCCCCAATCACGCCAAAAAAGGTCTCAACCCTGACTCCCCTCCCTTGTTCTTAAGAGGAGTATTTGAGCACCAGTCTAGGTCTTCATTAAAATTTCTTCGGCTTTCTTTGTAGCTTCTGCGTTTAACCATTCGTTCAGGGCAGTAAACGATCTTATATAAAGTGCTTACTATGGTGCAAAGAATAGCACCATTCAAATGAACACACACACACACACACACACACACACACACGCACACACACCCTCTTTCCAGGCTAGAATCCTACAGAATCCCAACCAGCCTGTGATTAAACCCACCAGTGTCAAAGAAAAATGATGTTAGAAAGTGAAATATTATTTTTGTTCCATGCACTCAATAAATCTCTCTTTGGGGTCACACAAAAGTCTGACAGATACTCAAACTCTGCAGCTCAAAACAGAAAAAAAATGGATTTCCCCTCCAATATCTCCAGTCCATTCAACTAAAATCACAGATATCTGAAAGCCTTGACATTCTATGTGACCGCTGAGATTAGATCTTAAAGGGAGTGCTAAAAATGTATAGAGGTAATTCAGTATGAAGGAAGATCTTTCTCCGGACGAAGACAACCCAAAAATGGAATATGCTGTCTGTCCCCTAAAGAGACCTGTAAAGGGAACCAATATTGAAATCCTCTGTATCTAAGTAAGGCAACTTATATAACTATCTCTTTTTATCCTTCTAGCAATGTTCTGTGAAGATATTATTTACACCCTTTTCATAGATAGGGAAACAGAGTTTTAGGTGGCTCACTGAAGCTCATATAGTAATTGACAGATACTACAAAAGACTGATGCTGTCTGCCAGATCTTTCTCCCAAGCTGATGAGTCTTGCTCACTGTAGGAACTTAGAAGACCATCTCTATGCAACCACCACGGTAAGAGTTTTGAAGTGAACCGGACATGTCTCTCCAGGAATTTGCACATTCATGAAGATGGTTACTCATTTTGGGCCTGCAGAATTCTAAATTAGGGAAGCTGGCAGATACACTCCACAATAGGACAAGGAGAAAGGGGAGCAACGGGACAGCCTCCATTACATGTGTTTGGCATGGGCCAAGTGGATGGTGCAAAGGTTGATTATCCAGGACCGTCTCAAAAGGACCTACTCAATAGGACCACCTGCCAGAGTAAGGAGACCTTCCTAGAGGTTGGAAGGATGGACTTCAGGAGGCAGTCACTGAAAGAGGATCTTGAGATCCATAAGTAGACCCTTCAAAAAACCCATAAATGCTCCAACATAAGAGAATCAGCACCTGGGGCTCTGCCTCTGATGGCATTAGGCATGTAAAAGACTTTTAACTCTTCTCTTGTAATCTCTCCTACTCTCCTGCTCTCCCCAAACTCACCCCACCCCTGCATGCTGGAGGAGATCCAGACACATCCAAGTGAGAGAGGGAGGAGAAAGAAAAGAGTGAAAGTATAGGCAAAACACAAATTTCAACTGAGAGTCAGAAAGGGGTGAAGCTTTAAATTAGACATGAAATTGAAGCTTTGATTTAGGCTAGCCTGGACTTTTTTGCTAATAAATCTTATTTTTTGAGAGCAAAATTGAGCAGAAAGTAGAGATAGACTGGACTTTTAATCATTACAAATGATCTAAAAGTTGAGAAATTTGCCTGAAATGTCATCCAGGAGAAGATCCCACAGAGAATTAATATAGTTTGTACCCACATCAAGTCCTTCAGCACATCTATTACAGTGCCATCATTTATTCAATTTCCTAGGTACCTAAACTGATTCCTCTGTTTTCTTCAACCACTGCCACTACAGCTAATTATTACCTCTAGTTATTCTCCCGAAAATATTCGTTACTAGTTCCTCATTATCTTCTCTAACATTTTTTAGGATTTTTGAATGATTATTTTACACACACACACACGCACACACACACACAAGAACTTGTATGGTTCCTGCTATTTGAAGCTACACAGAGATCTCTGGGAAATGCAACAGGTATACAGGACTGGTTTATTAAACTAGTCACCATTGATGTTCTCTTTTTCACATCAAGTCCAGGAGAGTGATCTCAAAAACTAAGTTGTACCATTTTCCTAATCTTTCAAACTGTATTTTCAAGCAGAAAATGCAATAAAAGGACCACAAATTTAGGAATCGCACACTTGCTTTCAAATTCCAGGCCAGCCACTTAGTAGCTAGTAATTTTAACATATATAAAATG